CATTATTTACATAATTGATGGAGATTTCAATATTTTCATTTCGTTCCAAAATTTTTCCATCATCTTGATTCTTTTTCAAATTCGAATCTTGAATTTCTCTTTTCTTTCGATGATTCTTATCTTTAGACCCCACTGGTCTTCCTCGTTTCAATCGTGCCTTTAATTCATTGGGCACATCGTCATTTGTCATTTCTTTTGTAATTTCAATTCGAGCAGGGGCATTTATAGTTGCAACATGTGATTTTGTCACCCTTTTTGTGTCAGTAAATGCATCTGGCAATTGATTTGCAATATTCTGCAGATGTATGATCTTTTGAACTTCTTGTTCTCTTTGTTTGGTGGGAGGATCAAGATATGATAGTGATGATGTTCTCCATTCAATATTTCTTTCAATTGACTTTTCATTCCCACCTAAAGGTGGAAATAATTCTTCATTAAAATGACAATCATCAAACCGAGCTGTAAAAACATCACCTGTTTTTGGCTCAAGGTATTTTATTATTGATGGAGATTCATATCCAACATATATTCCCAACCTTCTTTGAGGCTCTATTTTCGTACGTTGGGGTGGAGCCATTGGTACATACACTGCACAATCAAAAATTCTTATATGTGTAATATTTGGTTCTTGACCATATGCCAACTGTAATGGCTAGTATGTATGGTGTGCACTTGGTCTTATTCGAATTAGATTATCTGCATGCAGAATAGCATGTCCCCATACTGAAGTGGGGAGTTTTGTCCTCATTATCCATGGTCTGGCTATAAGTTGCAGTCGTTTAATTAATGATTATGCTAGACCATTTTGAGTGTGAACATGTGCTACAGGATGTCCAACATCAATTCTCACTGCCATACAATAATCATTAAATGCTTGAGATGTAAACTCTCCAGCATTGTCAAGTCTGACTCTTTTGATAATATAATCTGGGAATTGAGCCCTTAATTTGATAAGTTGGGCAAGTAATTTAGCAAATGCCACATTTCTAGTGGATAACAAACTCACGTGAGACCATCTACTAGAAGCATCAATTAACACCATAAAATATATATATATATATTCGGGAGATGCTACGGTCCCGTTACAGAATCATTCCGTCGGGGTTTGTAATTGTTAGATCATTTATTTCTCTATAATTACACGATGATCTAACGGTTACAAACATGACGTTCCGTAACGGGACCGTAGTATTTTCCAGTAGATTCTCTATTGAAGCTACGAGTCGAAATTGCAAATTGGTATGTTGCTGTCTGGTGCAATTTGCTTAGCGAAAATGGAAAGAAAAGCAAAAATTTGGGAAAAAAATCATTAATCATTTTTTTTTTCGTTGGAAGAGGAAAAACTAGTAAGAATACGTACTCTTGCTATCTCAAATCTATATCTATCTATATAATGGACCAATTCTTATTATTATAGTTGGCCTAATTTTAGGCGAGAATTTTTTTCGTTTATATTTAGTATTAAATTAATATTTATTTATTACCAAATCTTATGCATGAAAAAATTATTAATTTTTATACACTCAATTACAATTCTTTAAATACAAATTGGCTTAAATTTAAATTTTGATCACATATTTATTAGATATATTTTCAATATGATCTTATATTAATTTAGTAGTAATTTATTAACAAAATTCAAAAAATTATTATGGAAATTGATCTGATTAAATATATTATCATCTATGGTTGTATGAATTAATCTATTAATATATAATAAGGATTAACATAATTTAGTTTTAAAAATATTTTATTGCCTAAAAATTGTAAAGTAACAAAATCTCTATTTATTAGAATATTTTTTTATCCAATTTTTTTATTTTTTTGGAATACAATCAAAAATATGGAATCAAAGTCAAAATAAATCTAAGAAATACACTTACCATACTTAATACATTTAATTTAATAAATACATTTATCATACGTATTTTTAAAAAAATTTAAAATACAATATAAAACATTTAATTAATAATTGTCAATTAAAGATTCTTTTTAAGAATCAATCATATAAAATGATGGAAATAATGTAAAATGATCTAAATAAAAAATAAATTATTAATTGCATAATTTTTATATAACTCAATTTTCGGTTTGTATTTGTTTTAGTAAATTCTTGGTTTTCTTTAATTACGTTGATATTGGTTTTGTAGGCAAAGATTATGTAAATAATTATATGTAGCTGATTTTGGAACTCTTATTTATCAAGGATTCTTTTTTATTTTAGCAGATTTATTAGACTCATTGTTTGAATTAGCACATATGTTACATACACACAAGAAAAAAAAATATAGTAATATTTAAATTTACATGGCGTCAATTTTGGAATTTTCATTTGTGATGATTCTTTTTTATTTTATCATATTTATTAGAACCAAAAATTACAAAATATAAATTTATATTAATATCTAAATATATTTATATTAATATTTAAATATATTTTTATTGCAACAGATTTTGAGAAGGAACGATTTTATATGAGATATATACAAATCTATTTTTTTTAGATATACACCAATTCTCTTTATTGGTATTCTTTTTGTCAATTGTTTTTAAAAGGAAAATTTTCACAATTTTGTATAGTAAATCGATTTTTTGTTTTTGTATACACAAAATATAAATTTACTACCTAAAAAGTTGTCATATATAATAGGAAAGTTGTCCAATTAAAAATTGTTCAGTTTGAAATTATATAACAAGTTGTCACACATTCAATTAAAAATTGTCCAGCTTGAAAAAATTAGTGTTTAATCACTAATGTTTTATATTTTATATCTACTATAATCTCTCTCATAAAATTAGTGTGATGTAATATTTAATGTTTTGTATTATTCATACAAAATTTGTAGATATACACCAATTCATTGTCCAACTGTATAAATTATCATATTATAAATAGATCCATCTTCGACTTTCATTTAAGTTCCAGCGGCACCAGTTCCTTCTGACTTTGGGGTTCCATTTAATAGTCATAGTCAGTATTTTTGTATAAAAAATATAGAAATATTAGTAAACA